GCTAACTGCCCTGCTCAGGCAGGGCCTGACCACCAACAGCCCACTCTAGCAATGACTTGGGTTTTTCATTTTACTAAGGACGGTGTCAGGCATAATGTCTATATCTTTACAATATCCCTCCTGTTCATCTTCCCTTGGAGAAATTGCTTCTTTAAAAACGGCCTTGTCTGGAACAGACCACTTTCACAGGGACAAAGCAAAACCAACCTTAGCCTTCTAACTTTGGCCACAGCCGCTCTGCCTCAAATGGGTGCACAATTAGAATCCTTCCAGAAGATTTTTTTTATGCCTGGGTTGACTGGGTAGAGCTGCCTTCCTTCTCTGGCCAGGACCAGAGAACATAAAGCCCACGATACCTGAGGCTACATTTCAGGCCTATGGAAAAGGATTCAGGTATCAACTGTCCCTCATACAAGGTTTTAGAATGTAGCTATATGTCACTTAACACTGGGATAATGGTCTGAAACATATATGTTTAGGGGATTCCACCATTCTATAACCATCCTGGAATTTACTTATAGAAATGTCACTAAGTAATATAATTTTATGAGACCACTGTCAGACATGTTGCCTTAAGAAATGTCATTAAGACTATTATATTTCAATAAGTTGTCCTTTTTGCCTAAGATGGTTTGAGCCACGTTTTCATGGTGCCCTAAATAAGAGAGATCTAACTACAACCTGCCCCCATTTAGAAACTACAACAACAGTGTTCAGGTTCCTCTGCCACATCTCTTCAAATAGCACAACTGTGGAAGTCAAGGAGCACTGGAGTTGATACTTCTGCTTCTTCCCTGATGATCCATCCCCACGGCAGAGTGGACTGAGAAAAAATACCTTGTGCCCAAAGGCAGGAGACAAACCAAAGGCCCAGGAAATCATCACAAAATAATACATAGCCCATACCTGGCAACACAAAGCCACTCCATTAGTCTCCGGAAAAGCCTGGCAGGGTCGCTCCTTTTTAATGGAGAGGGTGAGAAGAAAAAAAAGGGGGCAGGGAGTCTAGGTCACAAGGCTGAGGAATGAGGACTTCCACGAGTTTGAAAACAGATTGGGCTACAGAGGAACACCCTATTAAAACAGAAAAGGCCTAAGAGAGACATATATGCATCGGCCTAGGAAGGAGGAAAAAAAAGACAAGATCTGAGTAAATTGGGAGCATGGAGGTTGGGGAGGAGGGTGAAAGGGGAGACAGAAGGGTGGAAGGGGAGTGGGGAATAATGTATAGCACATTCCTAACAAATAAATGAGAAGGATTTAATTTTAAAAAAAAAAGTCTTCAGCCTCACCTTCTATAATACCTGTATTGAACACTCAAACCTCTCACTGGACCCAGGACCACAGTTCTCTGACACCTCCTTACCCCATATCTATTCAGAGCCAATGGCAATTCTCCCTGTCCCAGTTCCTACTCTCTGCAGCCTGGAGACAAACAGTCCTTGCAGTGTCTGCCATCCTCCCTACATCCCTCTCTGCATTCCAACTTCCCCTTCAGGGAGTTGGAGACATGGCTTGGTGTTTAAGAGCACTTGTTGCTCTTGCAGAGGACCCTGGTTCAATTTCCAGCATCTACTTGGCAGCTCACAATTTGTAACTCAAGTTCTAGGCACTCTGACTCTCAGGTGCACACGTCGAGCACATATAAAATGCTGGACATAAAATAAAATAAAAATCTTAAAAAAAAAAAAAAAAAGGTGAGCTCCCTTTCAGCTCCAGCTCAAGTACCAGTCCCTGCTCCACTTTTTCCTCCACTTCTTCAGCAGATAATCCTATGCCATTCTCTTCATGTTGGTGAGAGCAAGTCAACTACTCTCTAGGAAACACAGAAGCAGGCAGAGGACAAAGACAACTCTAAGCACACGGGTGGAGAACCAGCAGGCAGTCAATTTCTGTCTTCTAAGAGAAGCCTGGCTCAAAAGAGAGTATTGGAGGAAAGCATATAGTTAGCACACAATCTATAAATGAGCAGAAAGCCTACTCTTGGATCTGTCACTCAATAGATCCATCTCCCATCAATGTCCTACTGCCCCAAAAAGGCATCAGGATACATGGACACAGCCCTGCCTGCCTGCAGTCCGCCCACCAATCCAAGCCCCAGAGCTGAAGACATTGTGCCCCCTGAGGACTGAGGCAGGCAGCAGGGCACCCTGGACCCCATCATGAAGATGAAGACACTGTGGCTGAGCACAGAAGCAGAACTCGAGTATCTTTGTGAGAGAAATCATATGCTACCATCAAATTCATGAGAGAAATACAAAACGAGTGACCAAATTCAGCTCTAAGACAATAAAAGACACTGAGCCTCTAGTCACTCGGTGAGGGGCAGTTCTCACCTCTCACAGTCACCAGCTGGGGCAAAGAAATTTGCTTCCTTCCCTACAAATCCTTGTGTACACAAGATATCAGAATTCTTCACGACCAATAGTCTCCTGAAAAGGTAGCAGGAAGGCATGGTCAGCAGAGAAATAAGAGGGAGGCTCCTGGTGTCTGTCACCTCCCTGCTCTCTGACCTTCCTGATATCTGACACCTGGCCCTGGGAACTCAATGTAAGGAAGATTAAGACTCCACTCCATGACACTGGGTCTGTCATACGTCACTGAGATGGAAATGTCCACACAACATGCTGAGCATCAGCCCCAAAACAGAAGCCCCGGCTTCACCAACCTAACCCTGAGTTTCTCTGCTCACAGATGATCAGAGATGACACACAGATGCCCATTGACTACACACCATGTCACCTTGTTCACAGAAGGCTCCAAAAGCTCTTGCCATATCAAGTGCTGTACTAATTTCTTCCAGACTATTAAATAACCTCCTTGACAATTGTTTTTCTAAGGATTTCATGACCCTCTAAGCAAGAGAATTCTAAAGTGTGGGGAAAGGGATCAAAAAAAAAATTACAGCCCTAAGAAAAAAAATCTCAGCCTTAAGTTAACCCATTCCTTGGAGGTCAAGAGCTCCTTAGAGGGAAGAGCAGAAAAGCACTTAACTGCCAGGTATGGGGAGGGGGTGTAAGTCAAGAGTGGCCAACTGTTCGCTAGTTCCCCTAGTCCAGAGATTACTCCTAGAGCTGATGCACACTCACCCCTGGGAGGACTTCTTGGATGCCCTCTAATTTCTATGTTTCTTCAGAAAGACTTCTGGAAACAGATCTTTGAAAAACTTCTCTTTCTTTCTTTCTTTCTTTCTTTCTTTCTTTCTTTCTTTCTTTCTTTCTTTTTCTTTTTTGAGACAGGGTTTCTCTGAAGCTTTGGAGCCTGTCCTGGAACTAGCTCTTGTAGACCAGGCTGGCCTCAAACTCACAGAGATCCGCCTGCCTCTGCCTCCCAAGTGCTGGGATTAAAGGCGTGTGCCACCACCGCCCAGTGACAAGCTTCCTTCTTAAAAATTAAATAGAAGCAATTAGAAAAGAAAAGTCATTCTGATCAGGTCATTTATCCTCTCAGTTGCCTGTGACAGGCCCTTCTGAAACTTCAAAGGGCTATTCAAAGAGACTACTGACTTTGCCCAGGAACTCCAATAAACCATACTTGCTGGGACTGAATGCAAGTCTGAGGAAAGAGTGCCTAAGGGGGAAATGGCAGGGCCACCAGTGAACTGCAGTTACGTGGTTGGCATTTCAGCCTTTCTGTGTGTCAGTTTTCTCCAGCCGGAGAGAGTTGGGTCGAGATGGCTCATGGAGAAGATCACTGCTACCTAATAAAATCACTCCCTTTCTAAAACAGACCCATAAACAGGTATCCTCAACATCTGGTCCTCAAATTGCTAAGGGCAGGTTTTATTTTCCAGCTCTTCATTCACTATCCTTTACATATGTGTCTTTACTGATTATTATTGTATTGGTTCACTTAAAACAAGGGCAAGACCTACACAAGGTACATTTGCTGTTTCCAGGCTCTGAGTATGTTTTTGAAAGCAACAAGACAATTCAATACTCTTGGCATTCAATCTTTCCTGAGCATTTTAACTACTGCAAGCCATTTTTCTCTCCGGCAAAGGAGGGATAATAGATAGTTCACCTGCTGTTAACAGTGATTAAATGTGAAAAGGCAAAGTTCCTGCTACCACACACACCAAGTATGCCAGCCCTCATCCTTCCTCTGCACTATGTGTCCTTCCTTGTCTAAGAGGCTGGCTTCCATTCTCCCCAGCTCAGTCAGGACAAGTCTACCACTAGGAACAAACTCCCAGCAGTACCCCTCCCCCAACCACACTTCCAAATCAGTCACTTTCAAGAGCAGGAACACAGGGGTTCCAAAGGGCAACACTCAAAGGAATCAGTCACCAGTTCTCCTCCACCGGGAACTCAGAACTCTCAGCGAGGGAACCGAGCCACAGCAACCACTACTAAGATTTTCCCATGGTGCAATGCAACTTCCTCAACTTTTCCGGACCCACAATTTCCAGAGAAACCGAGGGAAGGCGTTGTGCATAATTCACAGTAAATCTGGGCAAGTTAAGAGACTGAGATACAGCAGCGAGAAGGAAACCGATACGGTCACAAAGTGAAAAGGCACGAGTGATCCTAAGACGGGGTGGCAGGGATCAAAACTTAGGCTTTCTGTCCCTGGCCTATATAACCTATTGCTGATTGCAACCTCTGGCTCCGAAAGGGCTAGCCACTGGTCAGGAGCTTAGAAAAGGGGCTGACCGACAGACATCCTTCGGTGGCGTCCTCCGCCCTCCGCCCTGCCACCGGACCTGGTGGCCTCCGGGGGACTCTGCAGCAGTAGCAACCAGGAGAGGGAAAACAAGGCTTTCGGTGAGGGGTTATTGTTCCTGGAGACCCGCAGGACAGGGGCATGATGTGTGAATTCGGGTCCAGGCATCGGCCCCCTTCCCCAGGTACTCTAAGAAAGAAGGTGTCACCCGCGCCATACAGGTAGAGCAATAGCCGAGACCGGAGCCTTCATCTCCCCCCAACCCCCAGCCCCTTGTGAGCTGCAGAGAGAAGGGGTGGCCGGCGGGCAGGAGGGGCCGCGGGACTGCCACTCACCCGCGCCCTCTGCGGACTGCGGCGGCCCGACGACGCCGTTCAGGTAGAGAATGGGCAGCAGGTGAGGTTGCGTCTTCTCCAGCGCGGCACGCAGGTCCTGGAAGTGATCCTGCTCCTTGGCCAGGAGCAGCTGGAGCAAGAGCTCCGCCTTGGCGCCTCCAGCCTCCTCGTCCAGCTGCCGCCGCTCGCCCGGGCTCAGCGCCCCGGCGGCCTCCAGCAGCCCGAGCACGGTCTCCACCTCGGTCATGGCCTGGGCCAGGCTCTGCTGACACTGAGCGAGCAGCTCCCTGCGCTGCGGCTCCATGGTGGCGGCCCGCGCCGCGCCGCCCCGCCCCGCCGGACGGCGCCGGGACTCCCTGAGGCCGGCGGGCTGCACGCCGAGCTAGGCGGCAGCCTAGCGTACCGGGAGCCGCGAGGCGGCGGGGCCCATGGGCTGGGGCCTGCAAGCCTTGGGCCCAGAAGATCGGGCCGCTCTCAGAGGCCGCCTCCCGGGCTCCGGGGCGCAGCCATGTTGGCGGCGGCGGCGACGGCGGCGGCGGGACTGGAAGAGGAGGAGGAGACGGAGGAGGAGAAGGAGGAGGCGGAGGTGGGAACAGCCGGGGCGCGTCCCGAGGCCTTGCAGCAGCCAAGCATGCCCCCTCCCGCTCCACCTCCGTGCCCACCGCCCCACCGCACACTGCGTTCGCGGGGGAGCGGGGGTGGGGGCTGGGGTGGAAATCGCCAGGCGCCCGACGGCTCCTGCCCGGCTCACCCAGGCTCTCACGCCGGGGCAGCAAAACCGTGGCCCGCCCCTCTGGCTTCTCTCCTCCCTGGCCCGCCTTTGGCCTGGAAGAGGTGGCAGGCAACTAAAGCAGTGGAAGGAGAGGAAGGGTCCCGCCCCTTCCCCACCCGCCCGTAGCCCCTAAAGTGTTGGAAAAAACAACTCCCACCCGGTTCACATACTGCCCCTAATCCAGGGTCTCCTGAGAATTTCAAAATAAACCGAAGACACAATGGTGCCCCTCCCCCCACTAAACTTAGATGTCTCCCATTTAAGATCTCTCCAGAATCGGGCCCCATTCCAAGATTTTCTTAGAAAAATCTCCCAATAAAATCCCCCAACCTGCAGCACAGTTAATAGCATCCTGCTCACCTGTACCTGAGTGTCGCAGTCAAAGGCAATTGGATGTTGCAGGAGTAGGGTGTGCTTTTACTGTGAGCTTCTGGAGATTTCCAGCACATGCTCACCCCCTTGGTGTCACCCCAAGATTGAAGCAAACTACAGAGTTACCTTACTTCCCCTAATGATTTCAGCCACAGACAGCCATCTGTACACTACTACTTACCGTTGACTGGATCCAAAGCAATTGCCCCCAGCAGCAGCCACCATGCTGGTGTGTCTACATCCCAGGGAAGTCTGCAAACTTCTGCTTTGCAACCACTGATTCACTTGCTGAGACTAGCCAAGAGCTCTTTCTAGGGAACTGTTGCCCAAAGCAAATGTGTTTTAAATTTCCTAACTCTTTGACCAAAGACAAAGTTATTTCTGGAAAACAAAGTGTATAGTGACTAGAACCAAACAAAGTACCAGGCTTTGTTCATGAGATGCCCAGTGCCTTGGGATGATGCTCAAGGTGGAAGAGAACCAACCACCTTTGCTCATCTGGTTCTTCCTCAGGAGAAAGAGGATGAGAGGAGCCTCAGACCAGGGTTCTCGGCTGTGGCTTCATGAGTAAGTTCAACAGGGTTCACTGCAGTGCTGGACTCATCTCAGCGTTATTGTGACCATGTGTTTTCTGGGCTGGGCTCGATAGCTTTAGTCAATTTCTTAAGGCTTCTATTACCTGTCGTAGATTCCAGTGTGATGGGGCGAAACTCTCGGCAGCTCCTTCTCTGTTCGGATAGTCTGGACTTTTGTGACTCAACAAGCTGTCCTTTTTATTCTGTGGCTGTGGCACATGCCATGACCAAAACCAATTTAGGGGAAGGAAGTTTATATTTCCACTTACACCTCCAGGTCACAGTCCCTTCTTTGAGAAAAGTCGAGGTAGGAAGTCTCATTCAGAGCCAAGGCTTGTCAGGATGATGCTCAGCTAGCTTCCTCATACAGCCCATGATCACTGGCCCAGAGTTGTACCACCCACAATGGGCTGGGCTCCCCTACCCAGTTATCAATCAAGACAAGCCCACATCCCAGATAAGCTCACAGACCAACCTTTTTAAAAGACAATCGCTCGCTCCGCTGAGACTCTTTTTTCAGGTGATTCCAGGCTGTGTCAAGTTGACAGTTAATACTAACTGGGACACGAGGTTTTAGGGGAATGAAGGTTGGCTAGTATCACGGTGCCATAGTTTTACACAGACTTCCCGGATCTTTTCTCTCTCCCCTACCCCTAAGAAACCTTCTCTCTGGCTGGTCACTACTTAACTCATTTCTGAGGTTCCTTCCCACCTCAGTTCTTATTTGGATTAATAGATATCTAAATGAAGAGGGGAAGATGGAGGTGGGGAGAGGGAGGAAAGGTTAAAAATGAACACTAATAATGATTAGAACAAACTGTAAGTTTTACATCTAAAGGGTGCTTGAGACAGAAGAGATGCTGTCTTCCAGTTACTCCCAAAGAATGGTGAAGAGAATCAGTGTTTGTTCAGGAAGCCTTCTTAAGAATCAGCGAGGAAGCAGAGTTGGTGAGAGCTCTTCCTAGTAGGGTCCAGGTAGAGGTGCACATGACCTCTGTCCTTTATAAGATGCTCTTGAGGGCTATGTGAAACATAAATCTAGATGAGAAAGCCCATGGATATATTTAATGTTTTAGAGTTGATTTAACCAATCACCTTGGCATGAACTCATTTTTGTAGCTTTACCCCTCCCTAGAAATGGGGTCTTTAATAATCAATTTAAAATGAGGTTGTACTGGATTAGACCAGTGTGCGTATACGAAGAGGAAAGGCTGGTGAGCTGACTCAGTGGCTCACTGCTGCCAACCCCGATGACCTGAGTTGGATTCTTGGGACCCACATGGTAGAAAGAGGGAACCAAATCCAATAAGTTGTCTTCTAACCTCCACATACACTGTGCGAAACACACACACACACACACACACACACGCCTTTGGTTTTTCAAGACCAAGTTTCTCTGTGTAGCCCTTTCAGTCCTGGAACTCACTCTGTAGAAAAGGCTGGCTTCAAAGTCACAGAGATCCACCTGCCTCTGCTCCTGAATACTGGGATTAAAAGCATGTGTTACCACCTCCTGGCCAAAATAAATGTTCTAAAAAGGAAAATTTGGACTCGGATACCCGTGGGGGCAGATAGCCTATGAGGGAAAGGCAGAGGCTGGAGTAGTGTGTGTTCAGTCCAGAAAAAAAGACTATGGGAACCAGTAGGAGAAGGCACAAGGCCTGGGACAGAGTCTCCCTCATGGCTTCCAGAAGGAGCCAACTTGGGAAGCCCTTTGTTTTGAGGTTTTCCCCTTAAGAACTGTGAACCAGTAAGCCTTCATTGTTTTAAACCCCGGTTTGTGTCCAGTTGTTACGGAAGCTCTAGGAAGCACAGACACACCAATCAATGAGAAGTATGAAGAAAAGGATGGTCTCTTCGTTTTCCAAACCACAGTCACCTCACCCAACTGCCTAAGAATTTCTCTCTTGATTTACCCACCCTTCTTTTCCCTTCAGTTCTCGAGCAAAGTCCCTCCATACTCTGAACCCCCACTTACCCACACAGAAGCGCACACATCCTCTCCACGTTTGCTTTGCCAGGCCTCCTCCCTTTGTCCACGTAGGACTGGAGCTCTCTATTCTCAGAGGTCCTCCTTTGTCCTTTCTTATTTTCTCCTAGAAGGGAATCGTTACCTGATCCCACATCCTGTGCAATGGCAAATTCATGTCTGGCACTTTGCGACCTGGCTTCTGACAATAACTCACCACAGAAAATGATTCTCTAAGTTGACAAGGTGACTCAGCCATAGCTTCTCTTGCAGAAGACTTGAGCTTGGTTCCTAGCACCCACATCAGCTCATAGATGCCTGTAACTCCAGCTCTAGGGGTATTCAACATCCTTTCTGACCTTCATGGGTACCTGTACAATAAAAACAAAAACAAGAACCAAAAACCAAAACAACAACAAGAAAACAGATGCAATAAACCTGACTCTCTCCCACTAACTTGAAGCCACTTCACAGGTCCTTCCTTGATACCTCCTCTAGCACCTCCTGTTCCTCCTCCTACCATCTTTCTGCTTTTCCTCTCACCACCACACCCTGCACGGGCACTCCTATCTCCATAACAGGTCCAGTCCTATGCCTATCTCCCCATAAACCTCCCTCCTTTAGAGAAAGCATTTGGGGGTTTGACCAGACACTTGATGCTTGTGTCCCCAAGCTGCTTACCATTCCTGAGCTTCCTGTTCTTCCACCTTGGGGGCACACACCTCTTTTTAGTAGAGTCCTTAGGAAAGTTAAGAAATAGGACAGCTGTAAAACGCTTGACTCGGTCTAGCATCTGGTAGGCACAGGCAACTTCTGCTGGTCAGAGTGCTTGGCTGAAAGGCTAGCTTGTAATGAACCAGCTGAGTAATGCTATGCCACCCTCTGTGCCTCAGTTTTCTTGTGAGCATGATAGGATAGGAGTGTAAGACCGGGGCTCGGTCTAAGGCAGGTGCTCTCCTGCCTCCCTCTGAGGAAGACTGCCTGGTGTCAGGTGGCGTGTACTAACAGGTTTTTCACAGATGATTTCACTTTCATGAGTAATGTATAGACTCAGGACAGAAAGAACGATTTCCCTTTAGAGTGTATTCAGGTAGTAAGTGTGGGGGGTTGGGATGTTGTACCTTGTTCCCTGCTCTATCTCCCTACTACTGTCCCTTTAGCTGTGTAACAAAACTTATATACAAGTCACAGGAACTGAGTGTCTTTAGTGTACAATATGTGTCACTGGACTTCTAAAAAAATTACTCAGTGAACATATAAATGAATGAAAGAACTAAAGTGTTTAACATTGAAGGGCCACTTTTGGTGAACGAGGTATTTAGCACCGTGATGAAGTATGTACTCTGTATATATGTACTTATATATGTACTTAGTTTGATCCCTAGCACTGTGAAGGAACAACAATAACAATAAAAATAACAAACTAATACTTAAAAATCCTACAAGTGATGTGGGATTCCCTTCTGTATGCTGCGATTACCTTTGGTTAATAAAGGACTGTCTTGGGCCCCATGCAGGGCAGTAGAGGTAGGTGGGGAAAACTAAACTGAATGCTGGGAGAAAGAAGGTGGTGTAGTTGTCAGAGGGGAAAGACAAAAGCTGCCAGCTGGAACCCTGCCAGTAGGCCACGAGCCTCATGGTAAAATATAAAATGATGGAAATGGGTTAAATTAAGCTGTAAGAGCTAGCCAATAGGAAGTTAGAACTAATAGGCCAAGCAGTGATTTAATTAATACAATTTCTGTGTGGTTATTTTGGCACTGATC